CTTTCCCTCGCTGATTTTGACTGATCACCGATATACATAATCGGTGTGGTCGTATCGCGCCAGCTAAATCCAACATAAAACTGTGCGTGCGACCGACGGTGAAAGTGGACGAGAGTGGCGTCCAGTCAGCCGGCTCGCATTGTGCGTCTCGCAGCCATTTCGCGGAAAGGCACAACTTCCCGGTCTTCCGATTATGCAACCGGTCGGACCAGTTTTGGGGCAGATCGCGAAACCGTCCATCCCCATGGGCGTCGGCTAAACATCCGTTTCGGACCGGTTTTCATCTCGGAACGATTTATGATCGGTCCCCAGAAGCATTTCTCATCAAGCCTTATCCATCAATATTGCTTAATCCTAGCATTATCAGCCGGAGAGAAACTTCTTTCGTCAAATGTCTTCTTTCATTAAATTTATCCTTCACCTATCACTTTCTTCATCATTCTGTTGTGAAAGCAGAAGTTACAAAAAAGGAAAAGGAAAATAATTTTTGATAGAAATTATTTTCTCTCGTTAGTGTTCTCGTTTATGAAAATTATCACTAGATCTTTTCGAAGCCACCGTATTGTAGTATTCATTTAATATCCGATCTCAAATTGAAAACAAAATTGAAATACGAATAAAATTATGAGACTTGATATATTTTGGTAACTGACGCCTATGGCTGGCGTAACGTTATGTATTCCTTACAATCTACTCGATTTCTCGCTTTCAGATTAATACTGGCAGATATGTATCAAATGAAATACGAATCGTTTTTGAACGCAATGTTACCGAGGTAATGTTTAGCGCGCATCCCGTGAAGTAATACTTTACTCACGTTAAGTAAGAATTTCAAAACAATTTCAGAATAGAAACTTAGAATAACACGATGCTTAATTGTGAGGCAATCTGCGATTTCATAACAAGGTAAATCAATTCGGATAACTAGGTTCCACAGATTCTACTATTTTTTTTATTATGTTTGTCAATTTTCGTATTTAAAACTATCGTGGCCGAGAGCGAATTAAAATCGCAAATCGATACGCGTCGTTGCGGCTAATGGAATCGCATATCTTCTCTTCGACAGGAAGCGAAATGACTCCTGACGCAAATTATTTCTGAATTACATAAGGAATTATTATACGCTATATAATTAATTCTCGACAATCTAATCGGTCGTTTCGAAAATACACGAAGTTTATATTTACTGTGTCAATATATAAAGATTGACAACACAGCTCTCTCATATTCCAATGGATAACCCATGTCAATTGATATAGAAAATATTACAATTATTCGTTTACGCTATAAATTTGATAAAATTGAGGAAGTAAATTTAAAATTGTTCTTATAATAAAAAATGTAAAGTATATATAATAAAACGTAGAAAGAAATAAATGAAGGAAAAATTAATATAACTTTTTCAGCATGTTACATTTGTAAAATAAAAAATATCAATTAATTATAAATGCTATGTAAGTCCAATTTATATAAATTCTATGAATTTAGAAATATAGTTTAAAAGAAGAAATGCAGCGAAAAGTAGCTTATAAGCTGCATTGTTAACTTTGCAGTTATGTAGTGAGTCGGTATGATAATCAAATATTCCGTTTTCGTCGTCACGATAAGTATATGCGTTACGTTGTCGAGAAGTGATAAGATCAGGAATATTTCCGGTTGCGCTCGATGAAATGCCACGTTGCACGTTCGATGACGCAAGCATTTCTTTTTCCTTCGCGGTCGATTTCCGCGTCTTCTCCTTACGCAAGGCGGGCGGACCACTTTCTGGACAGAGACCACCTTTGTGCAATTACGTTTTAGTGACGTGTCTTTGCAAACAATAATGGCATCTCTTGTCACTACTCGTGAAAGCTGCCGTCCTACGCGTCGACACACATTACAATGAAAAATCGGATGGGAATGACCGTAAAACAAAAGCATTTAATAAAAGCGCCGAGCTTATTATTGTACGATTTTTTATTCGAATAATATTTATACGCGTTTAATTTTGCGTTTATAATTTTTGGAAAAATAAATATTATTTTTGCAAAGATGTTATGTTAAAAATTTAAATTTCATGTATAGTTTATTAATTAAATTATATTGACTAAAAATTTTTTCTATATTTATTAATGAAATTTTTAGAATTAACTAGCATAATTTTAATATACTCAACATCATTAAAATTTTTAATATTTCGATATATCATTTATTGTAACAATATATATTAAATAATGGATTGATTGTAAATATATAATTACCTACATGTTATTAACAAATTAAAGCAAAAATAATAAAATATTGTTATTTGCATTGACGATCTGCGAATTCGTTAAAAAGAGTACGAGCTATCTAATGGTGGCGATAAAAGATATGTACAATAAGGTGATGAAGGATAAAGCAGTTCGATTGAATTTACAAGTAATATGACAGCACAAGCGCGATTTCACTTGGTACGATTTCGCTGACTTTCAATTACGCAAGATAAGGGACCTGTCCGATATATAGGCTTTGTTGTCAAACAACTCTTATGCGTCCATTGAGGAATATCTTATTTCTACAGAACAAAATCCTTTCCTCCGACGAACGCGAAAGTAAAGGTTCCAGTTGACGAGTTCTTTCTTTATGTGATAGTTGAGATTCGATAAAAAAAGTTCGTTCGTTGAAAAAAGATATTTGGATACCTGATATTAAGGTTTATTATAAATTGGTTTTGTAAGGATATTGAAAGAATTGGAATACGTTTCACACAAATGCTTAAAAAATGAAATTGTTCGTAAAAGTGCTGTGATACAAACAGTGGGCATTTACAACAACAAAGGGACATAAATTTATTTTGCTTATCAATAGCGAAGTTAATAATTACAAAATTAATGAATCATGAGCTGTTCAAGTGTATAAAATAATTTATGCACTTACATTCACGTACAACACATACAATATTTTTTTCCATGCACGCTTTATATATTGTATATATATTCTTAATCGTAAAATAAAAATTTATGTCTTTACGTACAACATCTCATAATTAATAATGCATTATATTTAGAATAAAAATATATATCATTCCATCTTACAAAAAATATTCAGTTTTTGCGCTACGCACTTTAGCGCATTTGTTGGCAGTAATAATCATTATTTTCTTATTAACCGACTTAATTAAATAATATCTGAGTGGATAATTTAATTATTTTTGTTCAAGATTTTTCGGTGGCAATATTATAGAATTATGATTATGCGATTTGGTATATCTTGGCAGATTAACAATGTGTAGCGAGCTCTTTTACTTATTTTATTATTATCAATGCCTGATAATGTATTGACTGCTTAATGCACTTAATAGAGCATCGATACTGCCCAAAGTGTCATGATTCCTGTTGTAATCCAAGACGCGTAGATCGATGTAGAACCGCCATTATAAAAACCACTACCGTAGACCTGCAGGCCTGCAGTTTCTATGCTCCTCTTGCAAAAGTCTCCGTCTGTAACAGGTTACAGATTACATTGAATTGCATAATTGCTTCAAGACTTATGAATCAAGAATGGTTCTTTGCAAACAACAAACACTATACATGTATTTTTATTTTATAATCGATTAATCAAAGTCTCTTCTCTAACAATTAATAAAGTATAACAAAATGTATTTAACGTAAACAAACATATTTAAACGAAGTCGTGATATTTTTTGGGCGAAGGATTTGTTATGGAGATTGAACGATCGTTTGCTGGAGGCAGAAAGAGAGAAAATAAACGCTTTATAAAATTCCGTAATCGAGATCGACAGGAACAAAAACAGAACCTTGCGGCGAGTAAAGGGAGAGGCAGTCAATCTCCCTTTCCTTTCGTGACTTTTGTTTTTCCAGTTTTGCGGATATTCGTCAAATTCATCGACTGAATCACGTGTTGTTCCGCTTGATTCGTTCGTACATTAAAAGCGCTCGTATCGATCTTACGTCTCACCAGATAACGGTTTTTTCCCGCGTACATATACAGTTTAATCTCATTGTCAGTTGTAACTACATCGGAAGGTACGAAGTAAGGCTACTTAATGGTAACACGCGTTCCTTTTGTTATCTTATATCGTGCACAATAAGATTGCTTTATTCAGATAGTATGACGTATTAATGCGGTTTTTTTTATAAATGTCATGATTGCTCTTGAGAAATTAGCGATCTTTCTTGTGATTATAAGTATTACTGGAAAAATTTAATAACATTAATCTCTTTGAGTGAAATATGATAGGATAATTGGTAATACACGACTATATAGAATGAGTTCATAGAATATTGATTCCTTTGAAGAGATAGAATAATCTAACTTTTAATTATATACACCTATACTTTTGCAACGCGTGTATAGAGAGCGAATTATTTAAGATAAATTATAGTCTGTGTACTTTTATTCTTTTTGACGTGTGTAACGAAGCAAAAATTGAGTAGTATTTAATTTTTAATTTTTGAATATAAAGATATTTGAATCCATTTTACGAAGAATGCTTGCTCTTTACCTTTCTGTTACATTGCTTGAATATAACATGTGGACCGAAGAAGTTACGAGCAAAAAAAGAAGGATGATCGAATTGAATTCAGATTTAAATTATATTGCGTTTTATAATTTTTTGAATCCTGTTGTTATATATAAATCTCGCATCTATATGTACATCTGCTCTTTCCATCAAAATCATTTTTGAGAGAGAAGCTCTTTTTGCTTGGTATGGCTAAATGTTTTATTTATGCGTCATCTCTCCCATATTTTGTCGGTTGTTTTCGTTAAAAATATTGACAAAACGTGCACGGACAAATTATGTAAGAAGAACTGCAAGTGTTCAAGTTACTCTGAAATTCAGGTTAAGCTAACGATACTAACGTTGCCTGCATAACCGCTGCAATCGGGTAAAACGAACTTCTGCAATGCAAATTGGTTATTCTCAAACAACTCTCTAACATTACGTTGTGTCTTTTCACCCGCTGCGACTGGACATGACGAATATATTTACCATGACTAATCCGTCTTCTCATTTCGTGATTTGCATTTTCTTTACGGTGTGCATAAAGAGGAAGTTCATAATTTTAAGCTTTTTAAATATCGAGATGCGTACATCTAATACATACACATTTCGATTTCAAGACAATTCTCCTCCCCCATATCTTTCGCCAAATTATATAGTATAATTATTTCTTGTCGTTGGAAACTAATTCGGTCCAACTAGATCAACCATGTGATCAGTGATCTCATTACATAATATTACGTACGCTATAAACTCGAATGATTTCTCGATCCGGCTCAATCACGCGTGCCAGTTCCCGATTGACCGCGTGAACGCGATATTCGCTCTCACGCGAGAAGAGAGACGGCGGTGCATGTGCGATGGGAGGAGGAGGAGAGAAGGGAAAGAGAGACCGCGTCTAT